AAAACAGATGAGCAGCCTGGCTAGCTCAATCGGTAGAGCGTTTGACTCTTATTTAAGAGAAGCGATCAAAAGGTTGCGGGTTCGACCCCCGCGTCGGGCTACTTACAAATATTTTTTTTTTCTATTCACCACTAAGACAGATCTATATAGATAGCTTTACAGAGTAATCGACAATGATCTGATAATGATCACGCCTCAGTAACGAATAAATATTCCAGTCTCTATTAATTACCATATAAATATAACCATGTTTTGATGAAAGAGTATTCATCTATGGTACCATTTGCTTTATGAAATATATAGCCAGCTATAACATTTTAAATCGACAACAAAGCATATTACAATTGTCCCGTGTAATTCCATTTCACCTTCTGAAGACTCAAATACAACATGATGGAAAACAATGCTATGATGATTAATAATACAATCCATAGCTTTTCTAGAAAGTTGTCTGGGAGCTTAAGTTTGTACTCTTGTTGCCTAGGACTATCGTCTTTCTTCTGATTTTTCTTAGCAAAATCTATGTTGGATGATGGGTTTCTCGAAGTGTTATATTTCTTGCAATCTGCAGATTCTAGATTGCCGATAAAATAAGGCTCTAGCATTTGAAATGCATCATCCGAATGTGCAACATCTTCAAACGCCTCAGTAGCATCCACTCCACCGCAATCAAGAAGAACTTCAGCACTACCGGGATGACTGGGTATGAAGCTTGTCACATCGTATACCTTATTGTATATTACCATCCATAAGTCATTGGAATTATCGTGACATTTGATTTGCTCTAATGTAAATACTTGCAGAGATTTCATCGTTTCCTGGCCATTTTCCTGATACCTTCGACCTACCATATCATCTGCCTTCCCTTTTCATCAATTTTAATGAATAAATTTGTCAAAAACTTCCCTATAAGTCGTAATAACTTAAGAATACTTAACCAATCTATATCTAATTTACAGAAGAAATGCTTTATGACTGAAAAATAAATACATCACGTGTATTACTGATAACTTTTCACCAACAGGATTCTGAACAGGATCAACAACAGGTATTCTAAGGTGTACAATAGTAGTTACAACGCATACTAGATCTTAAGAGGCAAAAGAGAATGAGTTATTATAATAGGAACTCATCGTCATCGTCTTCGGTTTTGCCATCTTCAAAGAAGACACATTCAGAGAAGCACAAACAAATTTTGAAGCAATTATTGAAAGAGCATGCAAATAAGACATGTGTCGATTGTAAGACGGCTGCACATCCTAGATGGGCGTCGTGGAATCTCGGATGCTTTATGTGTATAAGATGTTCAGGTATTCATAGAAGCATGGGTACACATATTTCCAAAGTGAAATCTGTTGATTTAGATGCGTGGACTGACGAGCAGGTCGAGCTGATGGTCAAATGGGGAAATGAAAGGTGTAACATATACTGGGAATCGAAATTGCCGGATGGATATGTCCCAGATCAACTGAAAATCGATAATTTTATTCGTACCAAATATGATATGAAGAAATGGACTTCTTCGTCCACAATCCCCAATCCATTATCAATTAAGGCTTCTGGAGGTCTGAACGCGGGTTTAACAGCTTCGCAACACACCAGTGAATCTCACAAGCCTAGAAACAGTGATGCAGGCTCTGCTGATCTCTTATCGGGTCATAGTTCCAAAATTCAGCCTCTGGGATCATTATTAGAAGATGATTTTGGCTCTTTCACTTCCTCCCCTTCACCTAAAGCAAGTACCCCGGTCACAACTTCAAGAAACACAAATTCTTTGAAATCAAGTCAGCAAAGGAGTAACTCGGTCACACAACAGAAAATACCCGCTCAGAATACGAACGAAGGCCCAAGCATCCAATCGGCACAGTCTACTGGCGGATCCTTTTCAAATACTAGGCCGGATTTGAAAAAGTCTATTTTATCATTATATTCGTCTCCAAAATCATCTAGTTCGAGTTTCATTCAGCCACAGCATACTTCACAAGCTCAGCCTAATATGCAAGCATCTGTAAACTCATTATCTAATTCATTAAGCGGGCTTGATTTTAATAATTCAAATACATCCACAAATTTCAATACAGTTTCTTCAATTCCATCGAGAAACTCACTGGCTTCTCAATCGACTTCTCAACAATCTCAACCACAAACTTCTAACTGGAATAATGAATGGGCAGATTCTAATGGCTCTACAGCTAGCTTGAACAATCAGTGGCCAAACAGCGGTTCGTCTAGTAATTATGGAGGTCCAGCTAAGGCTACTTCGTTAAATAGCACTAGCCTAGATGATGATTTGTTCAAGAACGTTTGGAATTGACATGGTTTTACAAAAAGTCGATTGTAATGAATATGTTATATAAACGTATATATACTACTTCTACATAGATAAGGCTAGCAATATTAATGTCCACCAGTAGTAGGCAAACCAACATAAACCTTGAAAGAATCGTAAATAAGCCATTGGAAACCAGTCAATGTACCAATCATCACAATTCTGACAGGCAAGCCATTCCAGACACCAGCAAACCCAATCTTGTTATAAATTCTACCTAAGGCTTGTCCGATACTTTCAGTTGGTTTCTTTTCAGAATTAATCTTAGAAACCATAACATCAGCTGGGTGAGATACAACAGCACAGAAAATACCAGCGATATAACCCCCTAAGAATGAGACCCCTGTCTGTTGTACTGGAGTATAATCCGCAGGCTTTTTGCCCAAATACTTGTAAATCTGTTCAACAGTCTTTTCAAAACTTGCAAACTTAACCATGGTGTAAGGAATTTGTCTAAACCATAAAGGAATTAACCCCTTGTACAAACCCGCAATACCCTCTGTAGCAGTGATTTTGGACCATCCATCCCACAAAGATGAAGCATATGGTGGAATAGTGGTTTGTGTCTTAACCTTAATTGTTTCCCATGGACACAATGCTATATCAGCTAAAAATTCAGCAGAGAATGAAGCTGCTAAAAATACTCCCGTCTTGTACTTGCTGTAAAAATCTGGTCCTACAACATCAGAATAGGTTTTCTTGAAATATTCATAAAATCCGTACTTACCAGCACCTTGGAATGAATAACCAATGAATGTTGCACCGATACCTGTGAATACAGAATCCCCCTTAGTTTTCAAAATCGTTTTCCACCCTTGCATATTTGACTTATATAATGAAGAATCAACTTGACGACGACATTTCACCAAATCTAATGGTGTAACAGACGAATGTGTTGGTCCACATGCAATAATACCACCAAGTGTACAAGCAGCATAATATTCTTTGGAAAATAATTCGATACCTCCTTTCTTACCTGAAGCTGCTCCACTGCCGGAACCTCCTACTTTATGAGAAAGTTTCTTGAGTTTATCAGTTGCCGGTTGGACAATTGCTTCAGCTAAACTATCACTACCCATTTTATAAATATCCGTATTATAATTGAATTAATCACTTAAGGTATTAATTCTAGTTAAAAATGTAGATTCCTTGGGGTTTTATATTTCATCGGCACTGATAAAGTTGCTACCAGTGCGGATCTGTCGCTTAGCAAAATAAGTGCTATAAGTATCCTACATGGCATGAATTTATAGCCTTTGGGTAATCGGAATTTACCAATACTTCTCTTACATCCAACACGACTATATGTTCTATATATGCTATATATTCTATATATTCTTCAATTGCAGTTCTTGATTTCAACTTTTTGAATACATTTGAGTTTGGTCGTCCGGCATTTGCTGCAACATCCTTGGGTAATTGTAATTTGACATATTTATGAAATTCTTATTTTGTACCTGTTAGAATAGTTGTGTAGATTTATATGCTAGTCAATCATTATTTGTATTCTAGAGCATATAATTCTACCGATGGTTTTAGTTAAATGTAGATACGTTTTTGCATTTTTCGAGCCGTAGCACTGTCAGGGAGCCAAACTATTTGAAAATGCACCACAGACTACAGAATTGAGAAACACGTAAAGGTCCTTGTCATAATAGAGGCATTTAAAAGTACAAATAGGGGGTTTATCGTATGGAAGTTGGCGGAACGAACTTATGCACGGGAGCATATCTTAGATAAAATCCGCTCGCGTGCCGATCAATTCTTCCGATACCGATATGAATAGGCCGAACGAGCCATATACTATTTCACCTAGAGTTTGCAATCTACACAGCAGATCGCTCCAATTAATATATATTGCAAAGCTATACAAGCGACAATGACGTAGGATGTAAATTGACTCAAGAGCGTTCTACTGCCCACTTGACTTCGGTGATGCTGACTTCGGCATTGGCCTTGTCGTCGTAGTCGTACCATTCACCATCACTCAAGTCAACATCATCGAAACGTGAAGTAGTCTCAGCACCACGACATTCGAACTGGCCATCAGGAATAAAATCGACAAATTCGACACCCCTGGCATCGATTTCCAATATTGACACGAACTTTCCGTTTTTCTCTATGGTCACCGTCTCCTTGGTTCTGGTAATCGAAGCAGAATGTTCGCCTTTACATTCACGGCATCTGAAAACGAAACTAGCTTCTCCTCTGGATCCACCCATTTCATGTTTTTCAAATCTATTGATCGTCACTGGTTTTCCGTGCACCTGTCTACACGAAGTGCATTGTATGTTAAATGTGTATTCAAATGGATTTTCAGTTGTGTCTACTGGTTGTAAGTCGGTGACATTATCCAATTCTGCTGACGCCTTCAAAAAATACTTGACCATGATGTATATTCGTAAATAATTCGTAATCAATTGTCGTTATCATAGACTTTTATTTAGTACTGGTGTATGGAAATTTATTTGTGCGACGGTCGAAATTTCATCGATCATCATTGCTCAAGTCATCACATACAAGATCGATGTTTATGCTTATAGATATGAAGTACTCCTGATATGCCATCTGACAGATATAATCCTCTTCAGTATACTATTCTTCTTTTTATACTAGTTTCTCTATTCATTGTACCCCCTATTTTAGGATCTCTCAATTTGCTTATTCTAGCTAAAATCTTGAATCATATTGCAAGCAAATGCAAATTTTAGAGCACTTTTAAGACCAGTATTCAATCACAACACTTCTAATAACTTGATCTAATTGGACTGGTCCTAGTCAGTCCTGGTAGAGTCCAATTCTTTGTTAATGTAGTACTTCGGTGCCGTTATTGCAACTTGCAACACGCACGACTTATCTATACTACAAAATTGCGAGGAAGGTTTTATTCAGTGAAATCTAATGTTTCTGATCAACAATTAGTTATTCCAAACTTAGCTATTGAGTTATAAACACACAGGATCACGTACTCCTTACAATCATTTCTAGCGGTTTGAAAGATCTGTTGGATTAGTTAGCAATAAAACACACGTTGAACCCTTTTTAGAGGGAGCTGTATACAAATTATTAATACTCATGGTTAACAAGAATCCTCGAGATCCACTGGAATCGCCGCTCTCTCCATTAGAGAGAGACTTCTCAGATAGAGTTCAGGGCGAAGACTTGGAGTTTCGGGCATCAGATGACGGCATATATCGCATAATACATAAGAAAAGTCAGCTATATGCATTCGAGCCATCCAAGCTATTATCTAAATTCACGGCCACCCAGTTGGTGACAATATCAGGGGCTGCATCGGGATTTCTAGCGGGGGTGGTGGTATGTCCATTAGATGTTGTTAAAACCCGGTTTCAAGCCCAGGGGGCGATGGCACAAAGCACGGGTAGTTTGGTGAACAAAGAATATAGAGGTTTTCTAGGTGCCTTCAAAACAATATTACGAGAAGAAGGTATTAGAGGATTATATAGAGGGTTGGTTCCTATAACAATTGGATATTTGCCTACTTGGACTATATACTTCACTATCTATGAACGGGCCAAGTTGTTCTATCCAGACTTTTTGAAGTCTCATTTTAACTTAGAAATTCATGCATTAAACCATTTCTGTTCAGCATTGACAGCGGGAATGACATCTTCTATAGCGGTAAATCCAATTTGGGTTGTTAAAACTAGATTGATGATCCAGACAGGTTCGGGGACTACAATTGATAAAAGCATCGCTAAGGATAAATCCGCTTCAAAACCAAAAATCGAAAGAACATACTATAAAGGTACATTGGATGCAATTAGAACAATGTACAAAGAAGAAGGAATTAGAGTTTTTTATAGTGGGCTCATTCCTTCTTTATTTGGTTTGTTGCATGTTGGTATCCATTTTCCAGTGTATGAGAAATTGAAGTTGTGGCTCGAGTGTGATTTGAATTCCACTACATCTGACCAACAACAGAGCACCTTAGGGAGGTTAATAATAGCATCTTCAGTGTCTAAAATGATAGCAAGCACGATCACCTATCCTCATGAAATCCTCAGAACAAGAATGCAGATACAGTCTTCTAATGGCAAGAAATCAGATAAACATAAGGGAAAATTAATTAGTTCAATCGTGAAAATATACCAGAAAGAGGGTTTCAAAGGCTTTTATGCGGGATATGGTATAAATTTAGTTAGAACTGTACCAGCAAGTGCAGTCACATTGGTTAGTTTCGAATACTTTAAAACTTATTTATTAGAGGTTAGTGGGAAACAATAGACATATAGCATTTTATTCAATTAGCATTTTTACCAACACGTTATCTATTTAGAAGTTTTTATCTATTATAAATTGTATATTATCTGATAATTATGTACTCGCTTTATCAACCCCCCAAATTATATAAGTGCGCGATCACAGCCATGAACATGAAAATTCTTGGATCATAAACAACAATAATTCCTTTAGATTACCGCCTAGCTATGAAGTTATCCTTTGTTAGAGCTGCCATCTGTTTCACCTTATTGCTGTCAGCTTTAGGAAAACCAGCTGCCATAGGGAAAGGTGGATCGCTTGAGCTGGTAGCTGATAGATTAGAAATAGAGAAAGATGTGGTACCAGATGTTGATGCTAACGTGGAAAATGAAAAGCCAAGTAAGAAGATAGGTCAGGAAACCAGCCAAGGTTTAGAGAGTAAAAGTATAAAAGAGGGTGCCACTTTGGAAGAGGAGGGAGAAGTGGATGTTAAACCAAAGGTAGAAAATTCAGATGTTCAATTGCCAGAGGAATTAACATTAGCTGATTTTGCACAATCTACTAGTAGTCAACTTTCGTTTGTTGAATTTTATTCACCTTATTGTTCTCATTGTAAGCAATTAGCGCCAACATGGGAAGCTACATATAAAGAGTTTTATCCTGAGATGAAAGAATTGAATATTCAAATGAGGCAAGTTAATTGTATTGAGAGTGGTGATTTGTGTGATAAGGAAAGCGTAGATTCTTTTCCAAGTTTAAGATTATACGTTCCAGACACAGATAAAGTTACAGGAGATCTTATTCCAGGCAAACTGAGATTTGTTGGTTCATTTCCAAGATCGCTAATGAGGACATCCGACAATTTTAAGAAATATATGAAGAATGCCGTGGCTGAATATGACTCGGGAGCCATAAACTTGCCTAGTTCATCGCAGTTATTAACCGTAGATGAATTGTTAAAGGTTGTTGCTGGTGATATTGAACAAGCACATTTCGTAGCGTTCTTCCCATCATACGATAAACAATGGAAAGAGAGTGATTCTCAAAGCAAAAACTTATTTCCTTCAACTTGTGTCGATTGTTACGAATACAAACAAATTTGGGGTAGATTATCGAATCAAATATTAAGTACAGTTAAGTCAGCCCACGTTAATTGTCGCTCTAACCCAAATATTTGTGAAAAGTTAGGTTTCAAGGATTTGACAACTGGGTCTGGGAGACCAACACTTCCTAAATTTGCAATGTTTTTGCCTGAAAAGACAGGAATAGTAAGATTTGATTACAAAGGAGCTTACACATTATCTGATTTGAAAGCTTTTGCAAGTAGATTGTATGAGAGCTCTCAATATGAAAAAATATCTGCTACTACATTATCGGAAATTATGGAGTATAAAAATAACTTGCCGTTTGAACCATTGAAGTCTTATTATCCTTTAAACAATAAAGTGTCCGTTGTATTTTATTATGACGAAGAGACAGTTACCGAAGAAGATAGAGCTATTTTACCATACTTATTAGAGTATGTAATGAAGTCACCATTCAATGTCTACTTATACACAGCGAAAAACAAAAAGTTTGAAAGGAATGTTGTGACCCAAGCTGAAAATTTGGTACAATTTATAAACTATGATGAAGATGCACCACCAAAGAAATTTAACAAGGCTATGCATTTAGCTACAACATTGACAGCTAAACCTACTATATTGGTTTACAGAGATAATACATTATTCACAAGTATATATCAAAACTTTGCTCCTGAAGATATGAGAAATCATAACAAGATTGAAGAATTCATAAAGAAGAACCAATTTCCATTGTATCAGGAATTAACACCCGAATTAATAAAGCATTATTTTAATCCTAATAAAGAAGAGGCGGGAGCTGATAAAGTGGTAGTTACGTTTATTAATTCAGAGGATGCTAGAACTACTAACGAAGCACTCTATAATATGTCATTAATTGCTCATGATTATTATTCTTTGAAGCAAGAATATTATTTCAATGATATGACAAAGCGTAGAGAAGAGAAAGCCCAGAATGCCGCTCGTTTGCAACAAAAAAATGCAGACAGTGTTAAGGTTATTAAGGAAATGAGAAAAAAAGTTCCTCATTTCTTCGACTCTCACGAAGTTTTGTTTACATTTATTGATGTTTGTAACCACCCTAACTTAGCTCAAGCACAAGGATGGGATATTAGTAAGGCCAATTATAAACCTGGTGATGCAATTATCGTTACCAAAGATGATAGAAAGTATTGGGACACCAATATTTTTGGTAAAAAGTTGACCAATGACCCATATGAATTGAAACCAGTCTTGCAGTATTTATTAGACCCAGAATTATTATTTGGAAAGGTGCATGAAAGAGATGTCAGATTGAAGTCCAAATTAGTCGGCAGTCCATATGGTGATAGTTTTAGATTTATGGATACCGTTCACCAACATGGATTCTTTGGGTATATTTTCTTCCTTATTGCTGCATACACCCTAGTTGCCGGTGTCAGAAAATACCTTAGCATGAGAAGAAAATCTGCCTCGAGGACATCAAACGGGTTGGGAATATTAGGGAACCTTGATAAAAAAGACTAAGATATACACATGTCATGTACATATAATGCTATCCTAGAACCTGCAACTCTCTCGCTTCTGTTTCAATCAATTTTTTATAGCTATTACTTAGTTCTTTAATACTAAAGTCAATGCCAGGAACCCCACTCACTTCACTAAAAGGCGGTATAACCATTTTCGGTGGGATTTTAGTACCTCTTCGTATCAAACAACAGTCATAAACTATCGATAAGTTTCCCAAGGTGCACTCCGGTTCCACCAATACCCTACTTCCTATATTAGCCAGCCTCACTACCGAATTCTTACCGATTATGGTATACCCTCCGATCAGTAACGGTCCATGTATGGATTTTTCATCCTCATATTTTAACACAGGCGGTGAGATCTTGGCACCAGTACCCAAATAGCAGCATTTTCCAATCTGGATCGTAGATTGTTGTTTTCCAGCTATCTTCACATCTCCTTGTAATAAGACCTCATCATTGATTGTACAATTACCGTTGATTAAAATACTATTTGATCCGAATATTTTCGACTTCTTTGAAATCCTATTCCCACTTGTAGTTTCTATCCAATCCATGAGTTTCTATTACTTATATGTTTAGCTATATCACCTATCTAATGAATAACAGAACGTACAATAACAGTTACGTAATCATAAAAAAAGTCCGAAATGTTCAACGCGTGTTCTTTTCGTACTTAAATAGACAACGTTTCCATATATATTATTCTTTAACTTGGTATTCATTAGTGATAATAGTTATAATGTCAGATAAGTTGTTCAAAATCGATTGTGGTTACCAAAATTACGACTGGGGTAAGCTTGGATCCAGCTCAGCTGTTGCACAATTTGCATCCAATTCTAATCGTGACATTAAGATCGATGAATCAAAACCATACGCTGAATTATGGATGGGAACCCATCCTTCTGTTCCATCAGTTGCTGTTGATGCTGGTAAATACTCCGGTAAGACTTTAAGAGATTTGGTTGGAGAAGAGCCAGAAAAGTACTTGCATAAATCCATTATAGACAAGTTTGGATCTTCTAAGGAATTACCATTCTTATTCAAGGTATTATCCATCGAGAAGGTTTTGTCTATTCAAGCTCACCCAGACAAGAAGTTGGGAGCACAGTTACATGCTGCTGATCCTAAGAACTACCCAGATGACAACCACAAACCGGAAATGGCTATTGCTGTCACTGATTTCGAGGGATTCTGTGGATTCAAGCCTTTAGCAGAGTTGGCCAAGACATTGCAAACTATTCCAGAACTTAAGGAAGTGATTGGAGATGAAATAGTCGCAGAATTCGTAGGAGGAATCAAGCCAGAAGCTGAGTTGGGCTCACAAGAAGACTCGGCTAACAGAAAGTTGTTACAAAAGGTATTTGGTAAATTAATGAACACCGATGAAACTTTCGTTGCCAAGAAAGCTGAATCGTTGGTTGAAAGAACCAAATCCCAGCCAGAATTGTTTGGTGTCATCTCACCTAAATTGGCAGAATTAATACAACGTTTGAACAAGCAATTCCCTAATGACATCGGTTTGTTCTGTGGATGTTTGTTATTGAACCATGTTTGCTTGGTTGCTGGTGAAGCTATGTTTTTACAAGCCAAAGATCCTCACGCGTACATCAGTGGGGATATCATTGAATGTATGGCTGCCTCTGATAACGTTGTCAGAGCTGGTTTTACACCTAAATTCAAGGATGTCAAGAACTTAGTTGAAATGTTGACTTATTCATACGACTCAGTCGAAAAGCAAAAGATGCCTTTACTTCCATTTAACAAGTCCAGAGGTGCTGCTGACAAGTCTGTCTTATATGATCCTCCTATTGCTGAATTTGCTGTTTTACAAACCATTTTCGACAAGAAGGCCGGCGCAACCCAACATTTTGATGGTTTCGATGGTCCATCTATTTTCATCTGTACCAATGGTAGTGGATCTGTAAAGATTAAGGGCGATTCTGATGCCAAGCAAGTTGATACTGGTAATGTCTACTTTGTTGCCCCAGGTGTCGAAATCGACTTGGTTTCTTCTTCCCAAAACGAACAGTTCACTACATACAGAGCCTTCGTGGAAGCACAATAAGTTCTCTGATAATAATATTAATACTACATATGTAGGTAAAATAGAAGCGTAATATACTGTGTTAATAGTAAATCTAGATATCTGCCAGTTTTTCGCGTGTCAATTTTATTCTAAGCGAAAGCCTTCGGATACATCCTGATGCAAGACCCTAATTTCCAAGAAAAGGATTCTTGAATTGTATCTATACTGATAATACTCTCAAAGTATAAATAGCTTATAACGAAGAGATACACGCAGATCAATTGAATAATAGTCGAAGAATAGACTTTAAGAGAGAATTGAATACGACAAACCAATATGAGTGAAATAGCCGAACCACAACCACAAGTAGATATAACAATTCCTGAAGAACAACCGGAACAGGAACAAACAAGGAAACCACAGGAGACAGAGGAAGAACGTGCCGAGAGGTTGGCTAAACAAGAAGAAGTCGATAGTCGCTCGGTGTACGTGGGAAATGTGGATTATCAATCGACTCCTGAGCAATTGGAGTCATTTTTTAAAGTTGTCGGGGTGATTGAAAGGATTACCATCTTGTTTGATAAATATTCGGGATTACCCAAGGGATATGCCTACGTGGAGTTTGAAACCCCAGAAAGCGTGGACAGGGCAATTGAGGAATTGCACGGTAAGGAGTTCAGAGGTAGAGATTTGAGAGTTACTCCAAAGAGAACTAATTTACCTGGATTTAAAAAGAGGGGTGGATTTAGAGGAAGGGGACGTGGTAGAGGACGCGGAGGCTTCAGAGGTAGAGGACGCGGTGGATTCCGTGGTAAGGGTCGTGGTGATTCTGGAGATGAGAGTGAGAGAAAAAGTGCTAACGAAAACACAGAATCTGCTACCAAAGAAGAGTAAGATGTCCTTACGAATGAATTAAACGTACCAATTCTATCAGTTTTGGGTATTTATGGGAGTCGAGTCTTATACTGAGTTGATAGGACCGATTAATATTATTGCTTTATTTTTATTTCTTTGATGCTTTCACTTTTCCTTTCTTTTTAATAATCTCCCAATGATACACCTGATAACCATGTGTGTATGCTAGTCTTAATTACATATTATTGCATGTTATGATGTCCGTCTTAGGATAAGTAGTTAGTATATTAAACTCCGGTCTGCATATAAAAAATCACCAAATTTTTTTTTTTTCAGTACTAAAAAAATTATATTCCACTCATCTCAAGCATTTAAAAGTATATTCCTTATCATTTGCAAGAAATAGTATATAAGATAGGCCGGAATGACGTCTGTAAGAAAGAGAAAGATGAACCGTTCATCGGTTCGTAAGAATACGAGAAGAGTCAAGGATAAAAAGAGAAATGTTAATATTCATTCCAACCCAATCATCGCTGCTAACTGGGATAAATCATTGACTTTACAACAAAATTATAAGAAGCTTGGATTGAGAGCAAAGTTGGGATTTTTAGCTGGAGGAAAAGAACAAGATGTGAAAACGTTATCTGAAATAAAGGCCGCAGATTCTACCCCAAAGCCATCGCTTTCTGAAATCGAACAAACTACAGACCCTGCCAAGATACCGGAAGGTGAAGCTCGTATAATCAGAGATCCTGAAACGAACGAGGTGACCAAGGTTATTTACGGGACAATGAAAGTGGGTCCTAAGCCTGAAGCAGAAGAGCAGAGCTCATCTGTGATTAAACAGTTAGAAGAATACGCTCAAAAACACGCACAAGTCAAAAAAGAAAGAAAACCTTCTGCTAGAGAAAATGAGTGGTTAGAGAAGTTACACGAAAAGCATGGCGATGATTATGATAAAATGATGTGGGACAAGAAGTTAAATATATACCAACAGAGTGCTGGTGATTTAAGAAGAAGAATCACTAAATGGAAAAAAGCCCATAATGTTGAGTAAATCGGTGCTATACCATATATATTTGCATAAATCTTTTCTAATTTTAATAGTGTATATTAATTTCATCTTTCCTATTTTAGGAAGACTTTCATTACTTTCATTTTAAATATATACAAAAATTGCCAATTAAAACCTAGGTGGATGCTGTTGCTCTAATACTTTATCGACGATACCTTCCATAATCTCTTTTAATTCGCAGTCATCATATAAATCAATGAGCTTCTTCTTTCCATCATTCTGTTCATTATCTTGCATTTCAATCATTTCGACAAAACTTGGGTCTATTGGGACATTGCCGAGAAATTTCAAGTCCAAATTTTCACTTAGCTCTTTACCACCACCACTCAGGAAGATATTGGTGCATTCAGAGCAATGCGGGCATATAAACCCACTCATATTCTCTACAACGCCTAGTACATCAAAGTTGACTTTTTTACAAAAATTGATCTCTTTACGAACATCGGCAGTTGCAACTTGTTGTGGCGTAGTAACGATGATAGCCCCATCTGGATTTGCCCAACGTAACTCTTCTGCTATAGCAATATGCTCGTCTGAAGTTCCTGGTGGAGTGTCAATCAACAAGTAATCTAACGGGACATTATTTTCGCCGCCACTCCACACTACGTCTTTAAGAAACTGTCTAATCATGGCCGTTTTTTTTGGACCTCTCCATACCACAGAGCTATTTCTATTTCCTATCAAGAATCCTAAGGACATTAACGATAAATTCCCCCTCTTCTTTTGTTCATCTTTTTCCTGTCCATTATTATACACCGATACCGGAACCCATCCTGCGGACGATTGATGGACCTGTTTTGTTTCTACTCCAAACATCCGGGGTAAAGACGGCCCAGTTAAGTCTATATCCAATACCCCAGTGTTAAACCCTTTATTAACAAGTGTCAAGGCAGTTTGTGTAGTAACAGATGATTTTCCAACTCCTCCTTTACCTGATAATATTAATATTATATGCTTGACATTCAGCAACGATTTTGGACTCTCTTGGGGCTCAGCTGGATCCATATTCTATTATTCTATTATAAGTTAGATCCTGACTTTGTATAAGCTTCTACTGCTTTCAATATCTTCTTTAAAAATTCTTTTTTTTACCTTACTAATCTCTAATCTGATAATGAATTTTTTTGGAGCTGATTGAATACGCGGTGTTCAATTTGATCTTCAATACTCAGTTATTATTATGTTTTTTTGGAGATAATCTAGGATTCTGAAAGCAAATATGAGTTCAAGATATTCAAATAATGGCGGAGCACATCAGAGAGATTTGAGGACCCAATTATTTGCTACACCACAAAGAAGTCCTGCCAATAACACACCGCTTTCAAGATCAGATTCTCCATACGATAAAGCTCCAGCTGCATCAGCAAAATATAACGAATCTTACTTACTGTCGCTTGAATCACAGAATAATGATGAGGTCGATACAATGAGCCAAAAGGTTAATTTGTTGAAAAATTTGGGAGTTAAAATGGGTACAGAAATCAATAAATCGATTAAATTGAATGACGATATAACCAATTCAATGGAAAAAGGGAAAATAACATTGAAGAATACATGGAATAAGATGATTGTAATGAGTCAAAGAGCGGGTATAAGTTGGAGGATGTGGTTATTGGTGTTTGGTGTGATAACGATATGGTTTTTCTGGGTATGGCTATTTTAGAAGTGTCATATATTGCATGGTGAATCCGTGACTCTGTAAACGAACATATACTTCGATTAATGCCATGTTTCTGTAGTCATAGGATATAAATCTATACGGTTCTATATAACCTAATTTCATTTATAATAAAAGACGTTAAGGCATTTATAAAAGGCCCTTCAATCTAGATATTGATTTTAAGCTCATGGAATCAGCATTATCATCGTGTACTTCTTGGGGTAGACCGTTCCACAGAATAACTTCATTCTCATCATTGTCATTACTACTGGATTCATTAGAATTTGGTCTTGCAAGAACCATGGTGCCAGTCACTGTGAAATCATTGATACTACTTGCACCAACTGTAGGCTGTGTATTTATAGTACTAGCAGCAATGTTTTTGATTTCAGGCATAAGGGTATTGTGCTTTTTTGAAGAGTCACTTACAATACCTGTAATTCGTATTTTGGGGAATGGAGGCACATTTGAATTTGGTTGGATTTTCATTGGGGGCAATTTTAGTATGGACCTTTTGGGTTTCAAAGAATGATGAGACGGCTTATGCTTTGGTGTTGGGGATATATCTTTTCTTTGGTAAATACGGCGCTTGTGAATTTGTTGAGTTCTTTCTAGATGTAGTCTTTTCTTTTTCTTTTTCTTCTTTAAATCGGCTTTAAGTAACGTGTAATATTGGTCAGCATATGTGTTAGTTTTGTTATCACTCGATTCGCTACTCATGGAATCAAGGTCTGATGACTCGGAAGTCATATTGGGTTCACTTTCTATATCATTATCTTCAGGATCAGTATTCAAGCCTGACGTATCATCACTGCTCATATGAAAGCTCTCCAACGCGACTAGAGAGTCTGTCAATGCCCTCTTTGCCATAGAATCCTCACTATGATCACTGAAATGTGACAAATGATCATCATCTTCGTGATTATTGCATTCACATGTTGGCTTCTCTTTCATTTTCTGAAATGTTTCAGACGTGATGGGCGATCCATTGATTCTTAGTTTTTTGAAATGCGATGTTTGTAGTGTTGATTTGACCGTAGCTGGAGACTTCACATTGATAGCCATGTTACTTAATGATGGTCGAACAGATAATCTTCGATCATTTGATATTGGATCTTCAATAATTGACGAATATAATAAGCTCAAAGGGTTTCCTGGTTTGAAAGTAGAAAGACTTGTGGACTGACCGCTTGTACTATCATTTATTTCGTTTTCATCGAAAAAAATATCATTGAGTTCGGAATTCTTGTTGAATTCCTGTTTAGTGAATATATCAACATCGTTATACTTATTCAGTTGAAGGTCCCTATATTTGTTTATAGATGAGGACATGAATAGCTCGAATTGCTCTGCATCCATATCTTCCTCTTCTACAATAGGGGGAGTCTGCTGTATTACTGGTTTATCGTTTATATCTTGTAAGAGTGGTAGATTTTTACGATTCACGTTTGGTTCTGACATCGGATCTCTTTCAGTCAAAGCCTCATCCGATACTTTATTAACTGGTGATGCTGGTTTAATTTCTGACTTTCTTCCTTTCTGAGAAAGCATCTTATGTATATACGGATATTCTTGCTTTCTCCGAGAATTTGGTTGTCCTAGGATTTCATCCGTTTTCATTCTGTTTACCCTGTGGTCTATTTTTGAAAGTCTCTGGGTCAATCCTCGAATCTTACCCGAAGCTTTTGCTGATAATTCTAATAGAATCTCTATTTCGTCGTCAATAGTACTCTCTGTGCCTAACAGAAGTAAACTAGCAGAATTATTGTGCATGCTGTTCGAATTACTTCCATTATTGCTTATCGCTTTTCTTAACTTTTTATTTCTTACTGCAATATTCTTACTTAATGAATGGGCAATTTTTGCAATTTCAATGTTTTTGAATTGAATCTTTTGTTCAATTGAAAGTTTCCTTCGAATTTCACTCTTCAAATCATTCTGGTAACTAGTAGCCACTTTTATCATAGAATCAACAACCTCTTGAGATTCTTCCTTCAAATCATCACATATAATACGGTCTAACTTAAATTCCTCAATTGAAGGGAGCCTAGGCATATCTTTCGGAAAATTTGGCTTATACTTTCTATCCGCTTTCTTTACTCCATGGTCGTCGAAATTAGATTTATTTGGTATTTCATTGTCATAATTTAAAGACATTATTAAACATTCAATAATTTTACTTGAACTCTATCCAAATCATCCAGTTTAAGATAACGCCACTAATTCAATCTATATTTAAGGTCCTATGTTTGTAGTACTCTAAAGGTGGAAGTAAATATTGCAGATCAATTCGCATAATTTTTATTTTACGATCGAAACAAAGACAGTATGTACCTCGGCCAAAATAACGATAAGACAATATGAATCCTTGACTCTACACTTATAATATAAGCTAAACCTCATATGTCGCTAATATCACACATTTAAGTTATGTTAACTATGGAAAAATATATACATATAAATAGGCCAGTTTGGGAATAAAAAATCGCTAGCGTTTTCTTTGAATCACAACTACTGATTTAGAAATGTTACGAAAAGTACAGGTGTACGATGTATCTCATGAATTCGATTAAATCTCTACACGTTATATGAAAAAGTAAAAAGAATTTCTATTTAGAATCGATTTCGCAATCACTTTAGTTTTAGTAGCCTGTGGAAGGTCTGAAATATAAAAGTAGAGTTACAGAACAACGATAATGGTAGCGCTCGCAATTCCAATAGAACTAAGGGTTATTGTCCTATTGTATATAAAAAAAGGAATAGGTTGAAAGCTTTTCCGGCCATGTAAAAACGATTCAGGTCATACTTCGTTTTTATCACCAAAGGGATCACTAGAAACGCTTGCATTGGTTTTAATTTTGCTAAGGCTTCTGTTAGTATAACCGGCTGGTTTTGATTTAGGTATTGGAGGGGGAGACTTTTTACCTTGCAATGCGCTTGAGGAACCCTCCCCAGCCAAATTAACATTAGACAACTCGTCTGCGACATTCTCAGTATCTGAATCAGACGATTCATCAGTATAATAGCTCTCATATCCTTCACTACCGACATCGTCATCATCATAGTCTGGTGCTGGATTTTCCTCGGTATATCCACAAGCTTTGTCGAAATTCTTGAAGGTATGCACTAATTGTTCATTAGCAACAATTAAGCTTCCTAAGAACTCTTCATCCATAGCTAGGACCTGTTCACTTTTTGTTGTTCCGTCTCCTGCACCCACGTATTGCAAGTATCTCAACACTTTTCTTCTTATAGAGCGACACTTGTCAAACTCGCTAGAGCATTTCTCATCATCCAATGGTGACATTTCAGATGGGAATGTCATTAAAAGATTATTCAAAGTCGTTGTATGCGTATGACATTCTGCAATGACAGTTCTGATTCTAGGAGCCTCAACTTTATAGTTGATTTGAGGAATTTGATATTCCTCATCAGCATAACGAACACCTCCACGAGTTCTTCTTCTTCTCTTCTTCTTGCCTTTTGTTTTTCTAGGTTCCTCAGAGTTTGCAGAGTATGTAGACGCTTTGGCTGGACGAGGAGGTGGAATCTTCTTCTGGCTGACAGGCGTTGGTGATTTCGGCTGGTCATCAAGTTCAGATTCAAAAATGTTTTCACTCGTCTTTCTAGAATGAGTTCTACTATTTCTTGCACCAGGAATAGCTTTCCATAATGTGGCCAATGGCTTATAGTCACTCATATCTGCTAATTCTGATTTCCATCCTCTAGCTAATCCCCTAACTTTACGCTGGACATCAACATGATAGCTTGCACCTGCACCCGTCTTTCCATGACCATTTATTATACCTTTCAATACATCATGTAGCTTATCATCTCTAGCTATCACTGGCCCGATTTTCGGTCCTGAGTTTAAAACCAACAACTCAAGTACACTGAGAGCCTTCAACTGTACTTTAACAGATTCTCCATATTTTATCTTTTTCCTGATGGCTCTTGCAGCTTCAGATGCCCCCGTATGAGGCTGTACCTGAATTAAATGTATCAAATCTGATAAATAAAGTTCAATTGGCTTATCAATATCATCCTCCTGTGGGGTTGACAATTGATTAATTTTAACAGTAATCGACGTAATATTACGTTCTCCGAAAACTGGCATTGGATTTTTTTTCAAACTATAGTAATAACCTTCTAATTGTCAATTGATTATATCTTATGTAGTAAATATTTAGCGTTGACAAAATAAGTTATCATATTAATTCTGTACTAAAACTTCAATTATGTTGCACTATTCGCAAAAACACTGAACAGAATCTTTTGAATTGCTTTATTATTCTTATTCTTTTATATATATTAAGTGCTATATTGGTTTGAATCAACAATTAAGATGTCAAATGATTCAAGCACAGTCAAAGATGTCATCTACAGACCTAACAAGCGGTTGTTAAGGATATTCATTGTGCTTTGTGTCCTTCTGCTTCTTATCATTGGTCAACACTTATTTCTCGATTCTCGTGAAGATCTGGTATCTGCATTGCAAAATAGCAGGGTTTTCAAGTTTATTAACGAAGAAGGGGATAAACATACTTCGAATGACGTAGATTCTTATGGTACATCCGTAGAAACACACACTGTGCAAAAGGAAGAAGAGGAAGAAGACCAACTGCTCGAGGTGAATGGGGTGCTATCAACAAACGAATACAATGAAGATTCCAATTCAGGAGGTGAAGAAGGAGACAAGGAGAAAGAGAGGGCTGCAATGGTGGTTGTGGTACAGAATAAGGCTGATATTCCGATGATTATGCCAACAATAAGAAGCTACCAACAGAAGTTTAATGAAAAGTACAATTATGATTGGATTATAATATCGCACAGAGCGATGTTGTCTCTGCTTCAGCGAGATATAACGGCTTTAACTTTGCTGGGATCCAGCGTGAAATTCATGGATTTGAAATACCTGTCGGAACTTTTAGTATATCCTCCGGGAATTGACAAACAAAGGGTAAGACAAACTAGACGTGACACGGACTTCCCAAAAATGTTGAGATCAAAAAACATATTACAAGCAAGACATTTTGCAAGGTTCCTGACAGGCCATTTCTATAATTTGGATAACCTCTGGAAAGACTATGACTACTACTGGAAAGTGCCATTGGGCTCGCAGTTGAGTTGTGAAGTCAACTATGATGTGTTCAAATACATGAAACAAAACAAGATCAAGTATGGATGGCTGTTGATGCAAGAAGACTATCCTCATCTTCATCCTAGTTTGTTCAATATCGTAAAGAAGTATATTCTCGACCCAAACAACAATTTTATGCCAGAATCGGGACCCACTAAGAACAATTTTCACTTCCTTCTTGGTGAAGGCATGGACCCCAGTGCATTACAGGACCCTAATGCCGATTGGAAGATAAATTCGTGCAGTATTGATACAGAGTTCGAATTAGTGGACTTGTCGTTTTTCAAATCCACCCAATACCAACATTTCTTCAACCATATAGACGAATTCAACGGCTTCTACTACGAATCCTGGAGAGAACCAGTAATCAAGACCATAGCCACGTCTCTTTTCCTCAACACAAACGAAGTTCATTTCTTCGACGATTTAGCAGTACTGGTTCGAACACAAGCCTTAGGGCTTTGTCCTTTAAACACCGATTTTTACATTAAAAACAAATGTACGTGTGATCCACGGGAACACGGCAAGAGGATTGGTGTTGGTAAATTCCCTGGAGAAGAACTACAATTAATGCATAAGAGTACATGTTTGGCTAAATGGTTGCAATCATCAGACCAAGGTACTCCTAAAGTTTTTGAGGTTGAAGACGACCCATTATTTCATTCTTTTTCGAAAATGACGAAACGGCTTCTGTTGATTAGATGTACGTCGCTCTACGGAGTCGCTAACCCTATCTAGATTAGACATATTTGTATATATAGAAGCATAATGAATGTATGAATATTGTAGAAACCGACCATATCTACACGTGTGAAAAGACCGGTTCTTCGCAGTATGAAAATTTTTTTGAAAATTATGATACTACTATATAAGATCATTAGTTAAAAGACTTTCGTTTGATTTAGTAGAAAGTAGAAAACTGAGGAGAATGTCTGACGACCAACAGTACAATCAAGACAAATTGTCTCAAGATTTGCAAAACACCTCAATCGGAAGTGGTGAGCAACAGCAACAATCGTACCAACAGTACCAGCAACAACCACAACAGAACTATTTCAATGCTAATAATGCTCCAACTTTTACACCAAGTGGACAACAAGGCGGTTACCAAGGAGGTTATCAAGGAGGCTACCAAGGAGGATACCAGAACTATTCCCAAGGAGGATACCAAAACTATAACCAAGGATATCAAAACTACAACCAAGGATACCAGGGATACCAGAACAACAACAACAGAGGCGGTTACCAAAACTACAACAACAGGGGTGGATACAATAACTACAACAATAGAGGTGGATACAACAGCTATAATAATTACAACCAACAGGACCAACAACCAGAACAAAGCCAGGGTATGTCATTGGCCGATTTCCAAAAGCAGCAAAGTGCTCAAAGTAATTTGAACAAGCCTAAAAAGACCTTGAAGTTGGCTTCTTCTTCTGGTATCAAGTTGGCTAACGCTAAAAAGGCGCCAGAAACCGAATCGAAGGAGACTACTCCAAGTGCCACTGAAAAAGAGGCTACTCCAGCTGCCACCGAAAAGGAAGCTACCCCAGCTGCCACCGAAAAGGAAGCTACTCCTGCTGCTGTTGAGAAGGAAGCTAGCCCAGCTCCAGCAAAGAAAGAAGCTACTCCAGCTCCAGCAAAGAAGGAGGCCACTCCAGCTTCAACCAAATCTGAATCTAAGCCAGCCTCTAAGTCTACTTCTAAAGTTGCCACTAAGGAATCAACTCCAGTCACTGCTGATAAAGTGATCCAAGAACAAGAAGATGAAGTTGATGAAGAAGTCGTCAATGATATGTTTGGTGGTAAAGACCACGTTTCTATCATTTTCATGGGACATGTTGATGCAGGTAAGTCGACTATGGGTGGTAATATTTTATATTTGACTGGCTCTGTTGATAAGAGAACAGTTGACAAATATGAAAGAGAAGCTAAAGATGCCGGTAGACAAGGTTGGTATTTGTCATGGGTTATGGATACCAACAAAGAAGAAAGAAACGATGGTAAGACTATCGAAGTCGGTAAGGCTTATTTTGAGACCGAAAAGAGAAGATACACTATTTTAGATGCTCCAGGTCATAAAATGTACGTTTCTGAAATGATCGGTGGTGCATCTCAAGCTGATGTTGGTATTTTGGTCATTTCCGCCAGAAAGGGTGAATATGAAACCGGTTTCGAAAAGGGTGGTCAAACAAGAGAACACGCTTTATTAGCCAAAACTCAAGGTGTTAACAAGATTATTGTCGTTGTTAACAAGATGGACGATCCAACTGTTGGTTGGGCGGAAGATCGTTACAAAGATTGTATTACTAAATTAGGTGTATTCTTGAAGGGTATTGGATACGCTAAAGATGATATAATCTTCATGCCTGTTTCTGGTTATACTGGTGCAGGTATTAAGGACAGAGTTGATCCAAAGGATTGTCCATGGTACTCTGGCCCATCATTATTGGAATTTTTAGATAACATGAAAACCATGCATCGTCATATCAACGCGCCATTTATGTTGCCAATTAGTGGTAAGATGAAGGATATGGGTACTATAATTGAAGGTAAAATTGAAAGTGGTCATATTAAGAAGGGTGGAAACTTAATAGTAATGCCTAATAAAGCATCTATTGAAGTCGTCACAATTTTCAATGAAACTGAACAAGAATGTGATGCAGCATACTGTGGTGAACAAGTTAGATTAAAGATTAAGGGTGTAGAAGAAGAAGATTTAGCTCCAGGTTACGTGTTAACTTCTCCATTAAAGCCAGTCAAGACCATCACTAGATTTGAAGCCCAAATTGCTATTGTTGAATTGAAGTCTATTTTATCTAATGGTTTCTCATGTGTTATGCATGTGCATACTGCTATTGAAGAAGTTACCTTTATCGAATTAAAGCACAAATTAGAAAAGGGAACCAATAGAAAATCAAAGAAACCACCAGCATTTGCTAAGAAGGGTATGAAAGTCATTGCTGTCTTAGAAGTTAACGAGCCTGTATGTGCTGAAACCTACGCTGATTACCCACAATTGGGTAGATTTACTTTGAGAGATCAAGGTACCACCATCGCTATCGGTAAAATTACTAAGGTGTTATAAGGTCATTAAATAAGTGTACTTTTATTCTATATCTTTTATAATTTAATCTAGTTTCCTGTTTTAGATAGCAGATATGTACTATTTACATTGATTCAATATCGTTTCAAATATTGCTATTAAGTTTTCGACACCTAGTATGATATTTTCATCATAGCCCTTACCTTTAGTGTATTTTGCATGTGCAAAATCAATAAAGTTAAGACTACTCAAAGGGGATGCATCATTAGTGGATTGATCGCCTTGCACTTCGTTTGGGTTGTCATCATCGTCATCATCGTCATCATCGTCATCATCAATGAAATCTGATCGTATTAGTGAATCTCGTGATTCATACAATTCATCGTTACCCACGACAGGTTCCCATTTATGTGTGTCGTTTTCAACTGTGAACAATAGCGAACCAGATATGATCCGTACCTCAGTGTCTAACAAACAATTGTACAAGAGTTGGAGTCTCTTGAGAAACGTTTCTAGAAGCTTTCGTTTTATGAACGCATTGTCAAATTGATCGAAAAACAACGCCAAGCCATCTGCGACGTTATCTTTCGATAACGTCCTGCCAAAATATTTGTCAAATTCTATGTAATTGACATTTCCGTCATCATCTGCAATTAGCTTCATAGTCTTTTCCATACCATCGAACACGTCAGCAGGCATTCTTTTCAGACTCCCGTTGTATAACTTCATGCCACAAATCCGAAAGTTCAAGGTCCCACTGGTGGTTGTGTCACTCACCTTGCCCAATCGTTCTGCTTTCTCTGCAGTAGCATTTTCATCGAACAACTTGGATCCCAATTTAATGTCCAAAATGCTGGGACTCACGTATCCTCCGTATAAATTCTGTAATACAATATACTGCTTATCGTCCTCTGAATCCTTATCAACTCCTTCTAATTTCTGTTCCACTCTCTTCTTATCCTCATTTAGCACAGGCATAATAAGCGAATTTGGGTCATGTTTAGTAATATCGCTCTGTGTTAACGTTCCCATGAAGACTGGCATCCAATCAATCAATTTGCTCCCCAACGGCTGATCTTCATCGTCTTGTGATAATAACTGAGTTTCATTGTAAAAGTCTATCTCTTGTTGATTTGTTAGCTTAGCAAATATAGAATTATCCCCAATTGAAATCAAACATCCATCGTGACCAGCTGCTTGATGTTTTGATGGGACAAACGTATTATCCATGCTTTTAAGACCTTATTGATTTGGTGTATCAGTACTAAATGAAGCATTTTTCATTTTTCAGGCCAGCCCTGTATATACGAACTCAGCCAATTTTCGTCACTTTCTTTTTTTGTACACCTGTTTGATAAACACAAACTGACTGAAAAATTTTCTAATTCTTCTTGAATCTAACTAGTTTGTTGTAAAGTAGTATCAATAAGTGATTGAATTGAATAAGTAAATCGGCTTATTCTAAGTTTTTTAATTAAAAAGGATATCTCAGGAAAAAAAACTAGAAAATAAGATACGCAGGGGAAAATGAGCAATCCATACGGCAACTCATATGAAATGGGTAACTATAACAAATACTCGTCTGGTTCAGGTACCGGATCTAACGAGGATGATTTTGTCACGTACATGAACGAGATCAATGATATAAACAATTCGTTGGACCAGTATTCCAACTTAATCAATTTAGTGTCGAACAAGCAAAGAAATTTCGTACAAGAGTTGGATTTGAACGAAGAGGATGCTGATTATAACTCAAAACAAATCGACGCATTAGTATCGGAATCCCAATCGTTGCAAAATGATTTAAAGAATCGTATTAAAAATGTGCAGACTCAAGCTGCGCAGGCGAAGGACCAGCACAAGATGGATCAGGCGGAAAGCTGTAGAAAGAGATTTTTGGAGATTATCCAAGAATATAGAGTCGTGGAGTCTAATAACAGAGAGCAAACGAAGGTCCAAGCTGAAAGACAGTATAGAATTATAAAACCAGAAGCATCTGATGACGAAGTTCGTGCAGCAGTCGAAGACGGCAATAGTCAACAGTACTTCCAGCAAGCTTTAATGCAATCTAACAGAAGAGGTGAGGCTAGAACTGTATTAAACGAAGTCCAAGTGAGACACCGTGAATTATTGAAATTAGAAAAGACCATGGCTGAGTTAACTCAATTGTTCCATGACATGGAGGAGATGATTATCGAACAAGATCAACCAATTCAACAAATTGATGAACAAATTCACACTGCTCAACATGATATTGAACAAGGTGTTGGACACACCAACAAGGCTGTCACTAGTGCCAAGAAAGCCAGAAAGAAGAGAATCTGGTGTCTTGTTATCTGTTTGATTATTGCTGCCATTCTCGCCATTGTTCTTGGTATCGTCTTTGGTAGAAAGTAATTTAAGATGTATAATTAGCCTATAATTAATTACCTTTTATAAGTAGGCCTGTTTTATTAATGTTTAGAAGGCCGGTCAATAAATGTAACTTTATTCTGAAGTTTTACGGGAAGAATTCCTTTGTAGCAATATAGCTTCTCAATTAGTCTAACTAGTTTCCACAAGTAATATCATATTCGTGTATTTCAGTGTTATGCACATCCTAGCAGCCGAGCTATAGTATGCATTTTGGCACTTAACAAACCTGTCAAATTTAAAATCTCAAATTTCAATAATTTTTTCAGAACACTATATATGGCACTACAAAGAATGGTTAAAAAGCCACTAGAACAACTTATAGGCATCTTCTACTTTCTAACCATAGTATGCATTTTGCTTATAAAGTATATTAAGAAACTTAACTGCCTACTTAAGTATGGAAAAAATTATGAAAACCCTCAATCAAAATCAACCATAATAAATTATTTAACTTCCATTACGGTTCCTAAACGATGGTTCCTTCATTTTTATATCGCATATTTCGGATGCTGCGTTAGTATTATCTTCTTTTTAGCACTACTTCGAAGAAACCAGATATTTAATTCTGCAATAACTACATTTGCTAAGTCATGGCTGCCTGCTACTTTGGAATCGGTACCTGCTAACTACAAACATTACAAGCTTATATTTTATCTATTATGGCTTCAATCCTTCCGTAGATTGCTAGAAAGCTTGTACCTCACAAAATTTTCTTTAAAAGCAAAGATTAATGTCTTTCATTATATCATGGGCTTAGCATTCTATGTCTCCATATCATTAAATTGTTTCCTTAGTTTGCTTCCATTCTACTTGAATAGCGCGATTATTCCTGCTAACCTTGGGTTTGATCTCATCGATACGGTCTTAGTTACTTTGTTTTTATTACTTTCTATTGACCAGTTTCAGAATCATTACCACCTATCAAAGCTACTTAAATATTCGCTACCCAAGTTTGGAATGTTTCAATTAGTTGGATCTGCCCATTATCTTGATGAGATAATGCTATATTTAATAGTTGCAATCATCAGTAACCTACACGACCAGTTGTCGATTATTGATATAAACTATGTCCTCGCCTGGGCATTTGTTTCAGTAAACTTATCCATCAGTTCATTAGAGTCGTATGCATATTACAAAGCTAAATTTCCTGGGTTCACTGTGAAGTATAGTATTATTCCTGGCATTTTATAATTTTTTTTGTTTATGTCCCATCCTGTATATAACCAAGTTTATATTTTATTCTGAAAGTAAATAAAGAAGATCTACCTACTTAAATCAAGTAAATATGTCACCTCCCAAGACAGTTTCTCCTGTGATAGCCAGTCTAAGAGCATCAAGTACAAGCGTAGTTTGTGGGTGTCCAGGAGTTCCAAGAAGCATACCTCGTATTGAAACCGTCATTGAGTTACGACCTTTTAATGGCATTCCTTTCCTGATTCGATCGGTAGGAGTAGAATTGAGAACTACACAGAGGGTTGTTGTGCCGTCGACACTAGGATCTAATGATACTATCAGAGAATATAAAATATATGAAAATCCGTTTATTTTTAGGCCCGCAGCAGGAGAATTTTCAGAAAGATTACTTGGAATAGATATACCGGTGTTGATTCCATTACCGAAAGATATTATTTCCAGCGGACAGTACCAGCAATGGAACGCAATTACAACCCATAGTCTTGTGGTCAAAGTTTCGTGCGGTGATACATATAACAATGAGACGAATTATAGCGAAGCGTTCCCCATTCCAATCAAATTGTACGACACGTTGCCAATTTACAGACAGTTCAATCAACCAATAGCAGAAGTGAGGAGTTCAAACTGTAAGCAGGTGCTTGTGGAATTGTCATTACCAGTGTCGTCAATAGGACCTAAAGATGATATCATTTTGCTAGTTAAAACTATGACGGATCCATTGTGCAACAAAATCAGTAAGAACTTGCGATTAAAGTTCATAACATTCCAAATAAAAGAGATTTTGGAATGCCATGAGGGTGGGCTTCCATTGATGAAAGAGCATAAGATATACACCGAAACAAAGAGTTTCTTGAATGAAAATTCCGTTTTAAACACTCAAGGTGTCTCCCACCAGTTTCGCTTGGAGTTTCCCTTTGATAACGAGTATTTGCAGATGTATTGCAATAAAAACTATATTGACAACAACTTGAGTGATAGCAAGCATGTTATATCAACGTATGCAAATGATAAGAAAAATAGTAAAGTGGTTGAGGGAATTCCACTTACGCATACACAGGGTTTCACAACTCTAGGTCGGCTTTTTTCGATACGATACGAGGCGATAATTAAGGTGAAGCTAGTACAAGGCAAGGACATGGAAATCAAGCTACCAATAACTGTCAGTCCTTTCAATAGAGAAAGTAGCGAATATTTATTATCATGGATAATAAATCAGTGTGAAGGGGCTAGAAATAAATTTGGAAAAGACCTTGTAAATAGATTAGTAAATGCAAGGTATGATGAAACTGATACCGTACTTCAAAGGTTCAATCCGCCTCCGATAGTTTATAAGTATACAAAATCGAACTGGGTAAGATTAGGATTTAATGGTGAAGCATTTGGGTCGAATAAATTGGGAAAGAATTTGGTACAATACATTGACTAGCGACAGTGTATAAAGCTAGATATGTAAGGAGGAAAGTAAATTATAGAATAGATTAAACTAATACTTTAAGACTTAGTATATGTAATTAATTTATCTGCAGTGCGAGTATAGAAGAGTTATATAAAGTGGTTACAATTAAACGTATTTAGCTTACCATTCAAGACCAAGGATGTCAGGCATAAACCCTCCGCCATCATATGCACCAACATCTACCAGTTCATATACTCCTAGTAATGCTAACCATATCAAATATCATAAGGAGATTGATAAATCGGCTGTGATCAAATCTCCGTTGCATAAAAACATATATGATTCACTTGCAGAAATATACTCTATTATAACAGTCATGGAAATGATAGAGAAATCGTTCCTAAAGGATTACATTACCGACAAGGATAAATACACATCTACTTCATTAAGGTTAATAAATCAGTACCAAATAATCATCAAAGGATTTCAAGAAGATCAATCCAAGAAAACAATATTGGCAGATATAATACCAGGGGCTTCAGTAGATAACGATGATTTTCCTGAAATTCTAGGCAATACATATAACTTGCATGCTCCATTAGCTATAAAGAGGCTACAAACAGGTATACCTGTGACAATTGAGCACCTTGGCACTCAGGTTGAAAGTTCGAGCCACCCAACACATGACAATCGGAATGCCAATACATCTACGAATACAAAGGCAAGCGGTAGACTAGTTGCAGAGGTAACAGGTAATTTCATCACATGCATGGATGCATTGAAATTGAATTACAAAACAAAGGATCAATTGCACCCTTTATTGTCAGATTTGGTGGTTAGTCTTAATGATTTAGTAACAATGAATGATTCAAATGATGAAAATAATGGGAAGACGATTGAATTCCCAGGAAAATCAAAGTTGATATCGTGGCTAATTAAATTGAATAATTTGGAAGACCAGGAACTAGCCCAGTCTGACATCGACACCTTCTTAAATGATTTAGATCTGGCCTACAAGAATTTCTATACGTCATTAGAATAATTTATATTATAAGTAATCATCTAAAATTTTATTTATACGATGGACTCGATTTGCTCTGCATAATTTAATACATTATTAATGACAACTGTAGAATTTTCACTATTTGCCTCATCTTTATTCTTGGAATTGAAGAAAATGGTACCATTCTTAAAGGTCCAGTTTTCAATTTCCAAATCCTGCTCGCAAAACTGTTGAAATACAGAATCGGACTGTTCTTGTGGGAAGTATAACAAGTTTTTACAGTTGCTGACCGGCAACGATTCGTATGTTCTTTCCAAGGACTTCGCAATCTCAAATCTTAATGCAGTAATTAATGTATCAATGAAATGCTTGTACTCCTTACATGGGAGCTTATTATCCGACTCATTTAACAACTTCCAGATCTTATTATAGTTACCCTCCATTAAGTTTCTTTCCAAGTTAATTGGAAATTGCAAGTAAGAATCCTTTTCAATGTTATATTGGCGTTTGTTGAAGATATATTCCAATTCAACATGAAACTTGGAAATTAATCCCTGGGATAACAAATATAACAAATATAATGAGATAATTTTGGTGCAGTCAGTATTTATTTCCAACTTGCTGTGGAGCTTTTCATTACTATAAAATGGCTTTAATTGCGCAAAATAGTTCTCGAATCCTTGATAATCATTGCTTAACAACGATGCCAAGGATCCAATTTCCAAGATCCTCTCTGCAATCTTCAAATCATTCAACTGATCTTTATTTGTGCTGTTTGATGCCAATGGCACTAATAAATTGTGCTTGATCAATTCAATCTTGATTGGCGTCAAGATCTTCTGACATTGTGTATACTTTTCTGACTCAAACAATTGATACAACTCTCCAGTTAACTTCTGCAATGACATCCCTACGTATTATTTATTGTGTCCCGATGATAAGTTATGGATAATCTTCCTTTGAATACTAGTTTGATCCTGCCTTGTTGCCACCGGTCTACTCTATCAATACTGTTTTCTCACAAATAGGCTTAGACGTGCGCAAACCGAAAAATTCCAAAAATTGAACCCATACACCAGATTCCATTACACCCAGACACCGGATTAATTCGCACCCAATCTGTTCTGATGAGATGACTACTTGGGTGATATGTATACTAATTCAAATTTTAACACATAATAAATAGTTTCCCATTCAAAACGGTCCCGGAGACACAATATGATGAATTTAAAAGTCAGGATAGTTCTAGAGGAATTTGAAAGTGTTGGAGTTTCTACATATGCTTCTATGGGTACCGGGGTAAGGGTTTTATCAGCGACTCATTAATTTACGGCGGCTAACGGAGATCGAAATGCGAATACAATTGCAGGAAGAACATTATCAATATATTTTCACTATTGTGGGACAGCTATTGTAATACAACAGGCAATAATTATTTTCAAGGGAAATAATAAGCAGATAATACACTCAGTTGTGCTGATAAGCTGTTGAGTCATATTAATGGGGAATCATCCGTAAGGCGATTAACGGAAACTGGAATAGTGCGGACCGGAATTGAACAATTGTCGCAAAAAGAATTGCGACCCGAGGGTGAAAATAATTAGTCACTAGTCGACGAAAATAAATTTTTCATATATAAAGCATTACAACGACGCTTGTATCACTGAAAAGACATTTACTACTCTTAGACCTAGTATAGAATAGAACTATGTGTGGTATTTTTGCAGCTTTTAGACAACCTGAGGTTGAACAGTTCAAATCAAAGGCTTTACAGTATTCCAAAAGAATCCGTCACCGTGGTCCAGATTGGTCAGGTAACGTTATTCAAAACTCCACCATCTTATGTCACGAAAGATTAGCTATTGTCGGTTTAGATTCTGGTGCGCAACCAATCACCTCTGAAGATGATAACTACACCTTAGCAGTTAATGGTGAAATCTATAATCATATTCAATTAAGAGATGAGTTCCCATCATACCCATACAAATCTTTATCTGATTGTGAACCAATTATTCCATTATTTGAAAAATACGACATTGATGCACCAAAGCACTTAGATGGTATGTTCGCATGGGTTTTATATGACAAGAAGAACGACCGTATTGTCGCCAGTAGAGATCCTATCGGTATCACCACCTTGTACATGGGTAAGAGTTCGAAGAACCCAAAAACCCGTTACTTTGCATCTGAATTAAAGTGTCTTACTGATGAATGTGACGAAATCTTTGCTTTCCCACCAGGTCACGTCTACGATTCTAATACCGACGAAATCACCAGATACTTCACTCCTTCATGGTGGGACGAATCGTCTGTTCCATCTAAGAGAGTCGACTACAAGGAAGTAAGAGAAACTTTGGAATTGGCTGTCAGAAAGAGATTAATGGCTGAAGTTCCATATGGTGTGTTATTATCAGGTGGTTTAGATTCCTCCTTGATTGCATCGATTGCTTCTAGAGAAACCCAAAAGGCAGCAGCTGCCATCAGTAAGGATGGTATTGATGCCAACAAAGAATTGTCTGGTGTTGATGAAAAGGGTTCTTTACATTCTAGTGGTTGGAGTCAATTACACTCCTTTGCTATCGGTCTTCCTGGTGCTCCTGATTTAATCGCTGCTGAAAAAGTTGCTCATTTTATTGGTACTATTCACCATTCTCACACCTTTACTTTAGATGAAGGTTTAGACGCATTGGATGATGTTATCTACAACTTGGAAACCTACGATGTTACTACTATCAGAGCTTCTACTCCTATGTATTTATTGTCTAGAAAGATTAAGGCCCAAGGTGTTAAGATGGTTTTATCAGGGGAAGGTTCTGATGAAATTTTCGGAGGTTACTTATACTTCGCAAATGCTCCAAGTCCAAAGGACTTCCACGAAGAATGTGTTAAGAGAGTTAAAAACTTGCATTATGCTGATTGTTTAAGAGCTAACAAGTCAACTATGGCCTGGGGTTTGGAAGCCAGAGTTCCATTCTTAGACAAGAAGTTCTTAGAAGTTTGTATGAACATTAACCCAGAAGATAAATTAATTAAGCCTGCTGAAGGTAAGATTGAGAAATACATTTTGAGAAAGGCCTTTGACACTTCTGATGACCCAAGTGCAACACCATACTTACCAGAAGAAATCTTGTGGAGACAAAAAGAGCAATTTTCCGATGGTGTTGGTTACTCTTGGATCGATGGTTTAAAAGATACTGCTGAAAGTACTATTACTGATGAACAGTTCGCCAACCCTAAACCAGAATGGGGTACTGACATTCCAACAACCAAGGAAGCTTACTGGTACAGATGTAAATTCGATGAAATTTTCCACTCTAAAGCTGCTGCTTCAACTGTTATGAGATGGGTTCCAAAAGCTGAATGGGGTTGTCATGCTGATCCATCCGGTAGATTTGCTACCATCCATGAACAAAAAGTTGATCAAGCTTAAATAGTAAACTTCAATTAGTAAATACCTGGTTCTATTATGTATTCTAAATATTATTTATAGATGTGAAGGCCACACTTTTAATTACAATTAAATTAAATAACTGTAGTACATTAACGACTAATTTATATAATTATTTTCTTGCAACCATTCCTTTACTTTATTAACATCTCTTTCAACCCATGACGAATTGATGAGGATATTATCCAATACCTGTTTATATGATCTTTCAAAACCATGCACATCCTTTTCGCTGAAGAAAGTTTTTATCTCGTTATACATTTCCATGGATTGATAGTTTTTCAAAGTAATCTTGATAAATCTATCTAAGACAACCATGTTCGTAGACATCAACTTATAAAATTCATTGTAATTCTCTTTGAAAAACTTCCAAAACTCATCTTTTGTAGTTGCATTTGTTGATAAAGAACGACCCAAGAAGTGTGAATCCATGGTTGGGACAATATCAGGTTCTATTAAGTAACCAATTAATTTCTGGGATAATTCTTTATCATTAACATGACCTAATGATTCTAAAGCAATTTCTCGTGAGTCCAAAGAAGTAGGATGTGTTACTTCTTTTAAGATAAGTTCGAATTTTTCGCTGTCAATCAATCGTTCAGAAGAAACAATTGTGGAGAAAACAAAAGCTCTTAATGATGGATGAATAAAATTTCCATTTTTCCATTCATTAAATAATGTCAAAGCATAATCTTCAATTTCAACAATTGAGAGCAAACCAGCCTTGCCCAAGATTTCTGCTCTCAATTTGCTTCTCAAGAATTGAGAATCGTCTATTTTGTTTTTTTCCAATTCATTCAAAAAGATGATAGACATCTTTTTATAAACCGATTTTGCAAAGTTTTTTAAGCCCCTTGAGATTTGTTCATCAATACCAGTGAAGGTCACTAAAATATGATCTAATCTTTTACCCAATTCTAACCAAACAACATATTCATCGCCGATAGCATCAGAATCTATCACTGACTGAATTAGTTTGAACAATGTAGTTGTTGACGTAAATTTATCCCCAGAAACAGCTATAGATGCCACATCCGCAATTACACCAACCTTATCCTTACCCGATAATTTCTTGAAAAATGGTAAAATATTTTGTTCCATAACTTGTGGTGAATAGTTCACACGATAAGCTCCCGTTGTATCTTTGTTTAATTTAAAGAAGTCATTAGTCACTGGGAAATCATTGATTGTGATGCTTGAGGAGCCAGGAGAAATTTCGTTTGGTTCTAACGATAACTTGTCGCTAGCAGACGGACCATTCGAAAAGTTCAACGGGATCCACCATTTGGTATGGTTTTCTTCGTCCTTCAAGTCCCCACTATTCAAAAACCTTGATTGCTTGATAGTCAATTGTTTAGTAGCATAATCCAAGTCTACATTAACGATAGGAAACCCAATTTTTTTAATCCAAGATTCCATCATATCGTTAACTGGCCTTCCAGAGACTTCACTAATTGAGGACCATAAATCATGAGATGTGGCATTGCCAAATTTGTTTTTATTCAAGTACTTTGCGACACCTTTTAAAAATACTTCTGTTCCAAGGGAGTTTGAAATCATCAATATGGTTGAAGCACCTTTCAAGTAAGAAATAGCATCAAAGACCTGATCAATATCCAAAGCATCCACCACGGGGACTTCAATTGGGTGAGAATTTCTTAATCCATCTAAATTAAGAGCTTGCTGCAAAGATTCAGAAACAAATCCGCTAAATATATCCCATTCAGGAAACAAATAATCAACAGCTGCAAAACCTACCCATGTAGCAAAACCTTCATTAAGCCACAATTCGTCCCACCATTTCATTGTAACCAAATTGCCGAACCATTGATGCGCTAACTCGTGAGCAACGACATAGGCAACTTTTTGCTTGTAGGATGGATCAGATTTAGATTCAGAATACAACAAAGCAGTACTACGGTAGGTGATTAAACCCCAATTCTCCATAGCATTGTGTGAAAACGAATGCACAGCAATTAAATCAAGCTTTGGTAAAGGATACTTAATTTCGAATATTTTGGAAAAGTAATCTATAATTTTAGGAGCAATCTCTGACGCAAGTTCAGCTTCTTGTTTATATCCCTTTGTGGTGTAAATACGAACAGGCAATGGCTTATCGTTTTGATAAGTACCTTCCGTAAATGATTCAATATACTCGAATTCTCCGCAAGCCCATGCTAACAAATAGGTAGACATTATTGGCGTTTTTTCAAACTTTACCGTCTTCAAATTCGTTCCAGCTGGTTTCTCTTCCAATATTGGCATATTTCCCAAGATCGTCCATTCCAGTGAGACAACTAAATCAACGCTGAAGGTGGCTTTTAATCCAGGTTCATCAAGACATGGGAATGCTCTTCTGGCATCAGTCGCTTCAAATTGTGTAGACAACATAATTTTTTCAACACCATTTTCTTTATAACCAGATTTATAGAAACCCGCCATATTAGTCTGAATAACAGCATCATAATTTAAAGTCACTACCAACTCTGAGCTATCTGCTGGCTTTACAATTTCCGCAAACTTGATTATAAAGTACTCTTTATCGCTAAATTCTTGAATGGAGTCAACACCAATATTTTTATTCGAATCATTGCAGTATATGGCTATATCAATTTTATCTTGCGAGACTGATAAATCTCTATAGTTCAAATGCAATTCGTTTGTTTCTTCCACAATCCTTAAGTAAATTACCACTTTTCCTTCAAATGTCTCCTTCTCAACATTGATATTACTAATAGATACATCATAATGGTAAGGTTTTAACGAAGTAGGCAACGCTTCGTAATAAGGTTTTTTATCAGAACTACACATTGTCGGTTATCTAAAAAAAAGTAGAAAATGTGATCGTTGGAGATAAAGAATATATTTATGATCTTAGATTTTTATGCCTCATTTCTCAACGGCTCTAAGAAGAACGGCTTCAAATAGCGAAATCCACACGGCAAAATTCATATATATTTCCATTTCGTATTTTCATTCCTTAAAGTATATGTTATAAGCATATTATTTATGAAAAGGGCATTATCTTGAAAACCAGTAAATGTCTGTCTGTCAGTGTGAACCGCATATACTAACAAGTTTCTAAAATTGAGATATTTCATTTACATCTTTTAAAGCTGAATTCCAGCGATAATACAATTTGCTACAAACGCATTTTAATTCTATTACCGTACAATAATTTAGAATGGGTCTATTAATCTATCAAGTAGCTTTAAGGTTTAGTTGAAGAAGAAAAACAAACATTCGCTGCGTTATGGCTTTGAAATAGGTGAACAAAAGAGTTTATTTCTCGGTAGACTTAGATAAAGTGAAATTTAGAGATTATGCAAACTCAAAAGGTATATTGTGTAAGATATAAACTGAAGGATGCTGCTAATTTTTCAATCCTACCGAAATAACATGAAGGGTAGCTTGCAATCCATCGTACATTATAATTTCTCACGTCATCGATGATATCAGAATGCATGAACCCTTTTTGGGCCTAATTCGAAGTTGATGAGCATTTCCGTCGATAGTATAAATAGCACAAATTTCCGACCGCTAATTTTTACGAGAGATTATAGTTCTTTTTAACAATGTTTTCCCTTCTAGTCCTATTGTTGAGTGGGGTTCTATTAACAAAATCAGTACTGGCCGGTTTCCAACATTATCAGTTAGATGCAAATTCACTGGGTGTTTCTTGCTTTCCTATTTTGAGCGAACTAGAAGCTACCTCAATTGGTGGTATCAAGGTTTTATTAGAAGAATTGATCCTAAATGATGGACAGGAGTCAACAGATTTAAAGATACCAGTCTTGCTATTACCTTATGAAGATATTCTTAACTTTACGACCATTCCTTCCTGGGAAGAATATGACAGGGGGTATGCATCCAACTATAGCTCTACTAACTTGAACTGGGACAATTATTTTTTGAGAAATTCAGTAGATTTTGAAGAAAATAAGTTTATCTTGGATTTGTATGATGGGTACAATGAAATTGACGAGAGAAGGATTTATAATGGATATTTGGACGCATCGAAGAAGAATGGTCACGATGAAGCCATATTACCAGCTTACAAGATTGGTATGTATTGTGCATATGTTGCGCCACCTATTAACAGAGGTATCAAAATGATGACTATTCGTATTGTTCCTGAACCCTCTTCATTTTACTCGACTAACATGTCATATGCTGAGTATTGTCAAACAAAGTATATAATTGTTACAGGAGTATTGCTATTAGTATACCTAGTTCATAATAGTTTGCGATTTACGAAGGGAAGACAAACCAAGAATATGCCAATTATTTCAAAACTAGTCATATTTTATGTCTTGATACCGCTTTTATCATTCATGTCCCTTGAATGGTTTGTAGTATTTATCGAGCTTCACAGCAATTTGAGCAGCCGCAAAATACACTTCTTTGAATATTTCCGTCTAATGAATGAATGGATTCAACCTAATTGGAAGATCTTCCTTCAATTCTATACTTTACTCTTCACTATGGGATATGGTGTAATTTATTATAATAGGGGAGCTTCTCGAACATTTAGCAAAATTCCAAAGAGAACTAAGAACATAGCATTGTCACTTTTCATTGTCGATTTAATTTTGAATAATATAACAAACATTGCAAGGTATTTGAAGTCATATCCTTCGCTATTACATCAAGATACAATTGAAACCATAGGTGCCTCGTGCTTCCTTGGCTCGCTTGTATTCCCTTATGTCTTACGTTTTGTATCATTTATTTACTACTTCAAGACAAGGAATATTATTAAGAAATTGCCACCTACTTCAACTACCACCGAAGGAATTGATGCTAATACCAGAATAATGAAAGCATTTAAACAATCTAGTCTTGTCATTTTCATATCACCAATTGTTTCAGCATTGGCATGGTTTTGCTCATTTGCACGTATTTTAGGTAACTTTATTTACTCAATGATGAATAGTTTTCCTTCAGAACTGAAATTAATCGAGAATATATCCAGGGAACAACTCATAATGCTGGTAGAAATGATGACGGAAATAATGCAGTTTACTCGTGATAACATGATGTCTCCAGTTAGAGAATGGTCAGGTGCTATCAAGATATATCTAAATATAGGATTGTTGTATGTGATTTGGATTAGAAATAACAATGCTTTAGTCGTTGAAGATGAAAAAGAGGACCTCAAAGAGTAGCCTGGTATTAATTAATGGAAGCTTAATCACGTGACTGCGACAACTGCTGCATGTTTGACGTCTTACAATAGAAAGCAGTTTGTACTGAGAATTATAAAACATGAAGAAGTTATTGATCTATGTATAGAGTAGATAAGTGTTATCCGTGTTTATTCTTCAAAAAGTTTTTAGGCAAAGAAAATGAATAAAGAATATAATATCTTAATAAGTTAACAACTGCTTAAATTGACAAGCGAAATATAAAATGAAATAAGTAACATAACCGATAATAATTAAAGCTTCACTGTACATTCAAAATTATTTTTAGAATAGCGTCATGTTTTACTTCTAGAGTGCGTTATAAATATGAACTGGTGCGTTTCTCAAATAAGGGATGGTGGCGACTAAACAATACGCTGTATGTATATTTGCGACTAGTTAAGTGTGATACCTTACTGACGAATGCTGTCTAATAATTGTAAATATAATGGATCGATTAAGTTAGGAGTATAATCTTCATTAACTATTTTTATTTACAGAACTTGTCATATGATACCTTCTCAAATATGTCTGTGTGATGTTCTTAGGAACAAACTTTGTGTCAATTATAGTCTGTACCGAGTGCATGAAAATTTCCTTGTTGGTTTATGCATATTCATCATGACATAATCCAACAATTTTGATGCCAGAAAATATGCACCCTTATGGTTTAGACTAAAAGTCCTTATCAAAGGTACATAAATAGCCTAAATCGGCTAGCAAAATTTGCCGGTATATATTTCAAAGGAAAATGCTTTCTATAATCTTCCTTTAATTGAGTAGCATTTTATTTAGTACTCCAATAGTAGCCTATGTCGAGGATTCCGTGTTGGATGCAAATTCTCTGGGAGTTTCTTGCATCCCAATTAGAAGCGAAGCAGGAGCTAGTACACAAGGTGGAATTAAGGTCTACTTAGAGGACTTAGTATTATATGATGGAGATGAGTCTTTGGATTTAAAGATACCGGTGTTGCTATTTCGTTAGGAAGATATTCTAAACTTCACTACGCTTCCTTCGTGGGAAGAATATGACAGGGGATATACTATAGCTCTAACAGCTTGAACTGGGACAATTATTTTTTGAAAAATTCAGTAGAGTTTGAAGAAAATAAGTTTATTTTGGATTTGTATGAAGGGTACAAGGAAATTGATGAGAAAAGAATTTACAATGGATATTTGGACGCATCGAAAGAGAATGGCTATGATGAAGCAATATTACCAGTCTACGAGTCTGGGATGTATTGCGTTTATATTGCACCCCCTATTGACAAAGGTATAAGTACAATGAGGATACCAGTAGACATACAATATTCGAGAATATATTCTAGTAGTATGCTGTATTTTTATTACAGCAAAATAAAATATCTTCTTGCTATTGGTTTATTACTAGCAGCATACTTGATAAATAATGTTTTGAAATATAGAAAAGGTAAACAATCGGGCATCAAGAATATGCCAATTATTTCAAAGACAGTCATATTTTATATCTTGATGCCCCATTTATCATTGATGTTCCTTGAGTGGTTTGTAATATTTATCGAGCTTCACAGCAATTTAAATAGCCGCAAAATACGGTCCTTTGAATACTTCCGTCAGGCAATGTATTGGGTTCAAGACAATTGGGAGATCACACTTCGCCTTTATGTTTTACTCTTTACTATGGGATATGGAGTAATTTATTATCATAGAGGAGCTTCTCGAACATTCAGTAAGATGCCAAAAAGGAATATGAGCATAGCATTGATACTCTTTATTATCAATCTAATTTTGGATTATATAGTAGAGATTGAAGAATATTTGATGCAATATCATACTCTGGAACTATACAAAGATACTATTTCATATGTTTGTACCATTTGCTTCTTTGCTTCGTATTTATTTTCTTTGGTATGGTACTTCGTGTCATTTATCTATTATTTCAAGACAAGAAACATTATTAGGAAATTGCCGCCTACTTCAACAGTTATAGAGGGAATTGATGCTAACACAAGAATAATGAATGCTTTTAGACAATCCTGCTTTATAATTTTTGTTTCGCCTTTTATTTCTGTATTAACATGGTTTATAACGTATGG